GGTGTGCCCGCTCTCCAAGCGGCCGCTGAGGTGAGGTGAGGGGCCGGGCCCGGGGCCGGGCCCTCCTTGGCCGCCCCGAGCCGAGCGGGAGGGCCGCCACAGGGCACGCCCGTGTTATTCACTCCTCCCTTTGCTTTGTTTCGTTCTGTTTTTCCCTTCCTGGCTCGCCCGGCTAGGTACGAAGAAGCTACCAACGAGCTGATTAACGAGGAGCTGGGCATCGCGTACCCCGTCATCGACGGCATCCCCAACATGGTCCCGGAAGCTGCCAGGAAGACGGGGAAGAAGCCCCCAGCTGAGGACTGAGGACCCGCCAGCCGGAGCGGCGAAGCCGGGCCGATGGCCCGCGGGGGCATGCTCCCCTCCCTGCCCACGCTGACTGTCCTTGTTCCCCTCCTCTCCCTCGCAGGCTTGTTCTACTCAGCCAGCGTGGATGAGAGCTTCCCGCAGGGCTGCACCAGCACCAACAGCTTGTGTTTCTACAGCCTCCTCCTTCCCGTTACGATACCGGTTTATGTATTCTTCCACCTATGGACCTGGATGGGGATTAAGCTTTTTAGGCACAACTAGCGCCATGCATTTGCTAAACCCTGGGCTTCTCTAAAACAGCGCGGCTTGCTTAACCTCATCCGGTATTGCAGCTGATTTGAGTGCGTTCACTTCTGGCATTGGCGACTGTCGTCATTTTCCTAGTGGCGTCTGGAACTGTACAAAGTTCTCTGCAACAGCCTGTTACTTAACTACTGCTATGGCAGATAAAGAGGAGGAGTGACAAGAAGCACAAAGTCCTGCCTGTGTATCCCTTCAAGTGTTGTGCGTTTGCAGTGGCACTAATGAAAATCTTCTAGGTGGTGATCGTTTTTACAAGGAAGAACTGGACCCTGACTGAAATAACAGATTGTAAATAATAAGCAATGATAACATGCAGCAATGTGCACCTCTCTTTGAATTACGAGCTTTGGTTTTGCTTTGAACTGATTGGTGCATTGCAATCTGTTTGTCTCACCGTCAGAAGAACATAAAATAAATTAGGCTGATGTTTAATAACAAAACTTGAGTTAAATGAAGAAATTTACTCGGATGATACGCATGTCTGTGTGTCCAGTAGCTGCTTGCTTGCTTTTTTTTTCTTTTAAGGAAAATACGGGGAAATGACAGTGCCGCAGAAAAGATGTACTTGTGCATTTGGGGGTTTTGCTAGAGCGGCCTCCAGCATATTCCAGTGTCTGCTTAGGAGATGTATGTCCCTGTACTATTTGTTAAATGTGTCTGAGTGCCCAAGTTTGATAGCCAGGCTGGGTCATCTTCGTTAACGGGGCATTTCCTGACAGGTTAGAGGAAAAGTAACTGCAACTGAGCCCAGCATTTGGTAGCCAAGTTGGCAGTTACAAATGCTGTTTAAGTATGTAGCGATCCTTCCCCGTTTTCATTTATAGCAGCACTAGAGAACGGAGTGACAGACCACTGTGAGGGTGTCACATGCAAAGTTCTTGCTACTGTCTGACAAAATGTCTCAAGACAACACAGCTTTGACAGGGACAGGTTAATGCTACAATAATCTATTACAAGGGTTTGGTTTTTATGTTTTGTCGCTGGGTGGTTTGTATCTGCAACACAGACACATGAAAGTCCTTTACCTGCTGAAAAATTAAGAAATGCAGCACCAGGTTGTAAGTCTGCAGACCTCAGCGTCTCTTGGTGGGCTATTAATAACGCAGTCAAAGGCATGGGGCTGCTGCTGGGCAGATAACATTGTGGTGCACAGCAGGAAAGGCCGTGCCCGCAGGAGGTGTTTTCAAAGGTGGACTCTGGCTCAGTGCAGCTGTGTGTCGGGGCTCCTTATGCCAGGAGCAGAGAGAGACTCTAGATCTAGAGGACAGCACAGAGCACGAGGCCTTATTGCCTCCGTAAATAAATGCCCCTTTCAGCTGGTGTAGTGAGGAAGGGGGAAAGAAAGGTGGCCCTAGGAGCCATCTGTAAATCTCCTAAGCGTATAGAAAGGAAAAGCTTTGGCAGCTCTGGTTGGCAAGAAGGCTCACTGGGAAAGAGCCAGGACTGTGTCGCAGGGCTCTGCGGCTGATAGCTCCTGCTGCGCAGGCGTGGTGCCAGACCCCGCGCCCGTCTGTTAGCGACTGATAGCGCACGTCGTCTGCGAGCTGAGCTCCGCTCTGGGCAGGTGCCCTCTTCCCCCCTCAGCCGTCAGGGCAGGGCTAGCATTGCAATACCTGAAGAAAATATGGCTGCCAGAGCCTTTGGTTTTGTTTGGAAGCTGCAGACTAAGGCCACGCGGAGACGGCAGCGTTATAATCAGCTTTTCATCTCTCTTGCTGGCACTGCCCTTCCTTTCCCCACAGGCAGGAGAAGCGGCTTTTGTGGCTGTGCAGGTTGCTGGCCCCTGGTGCTGGCTCCCCAGCCACCAGGTTTTTCAGTTACAGCAAACTAGCCTAGAGTCGTTAAAGTCAGTCTGGCAGTAATAGTAACGGACTTTGCCAATTACCAGTTTCCTGAGCAATCCTGTTACATTACCCCGAAACAACCTCATAGTAAATAGCACTGCCACTTGCGTTTAACTTACGCCAACAAAGCTTGGTGGCTACCTGGCACAAGAGTGTAAGATACTGCCCTCCAGATTTACTCTACGTCCCCTGTGGAACATGTTTTATAACCTTGTGATGAGTATTTATATGCCCAGTGACTACTGAAACCAATGCTTCAGTAACACTGAAAACCAAAGAACGCTGCAGCAATAGATCCAGAGCTAACAAGTAATATAATTTGGTATCTTACCTGTAAGACCTTCCTGAACTGATGGGTTGGCGCGTTGTTCAAATGGTCCCATATGTCTTGCAGAAGGCACTCCCTCCTGACTGGAAAAACCCAGTGTACCTGGCCCATCAGTATTAATGGTATCTGAAGATTGAAGTTACAGTGTGTTAGCAGTGTGTTTCTCTCTTCTGAATTGTAAAAAAAAATTGGCCATACTTACATTGGTAAAGGAGCAGAACGCAGCATTGCGTTCTATGTAATAAACGTTGATCTTGTCTTGCATGTCAAAGACGCATGGGTATCTGGTCAGCGTCCGCAGGAGAATCTGCAGGGACTAGGAAGAAAGAAGGCGGCGCGTTGATGTTCTCCTGCAAAACTAGCGTTCGGGGGCACCTGTGCAGACTGAACTGCCCGTCTGTACCCTGGCAAACTCCCGTATCGCTGAAACGTGCCCTCGCTGTGTACATCAACACTACACTGGCGGAGGCACACGCGTTCTAAAAGCAGCTGCTAAACACTTCGCTGAGTGGGAAACCCTGACGGAGAGGTGTCTGAGCTGTCGGCGCAGGCTGACACTCGTGTTACGGTGCCCCCGGAATAAAACAGAGACGTAGCAATTTTAATAGCATCTTCCATCATTCAGCTAAACCAAAGCACATAGAAAAATGTCCTGGATACCCAGGTTGTGGTACATTGTTGTTAAAAACTGTTGGGTTTATTATCTGTAATACCAAAAGTAGGTATTGGTATACAAAATAATCTCATTCAAAGTGTTACACCTGCAGTGTAAGAAGGCAGCAGGTAATGTCCTATTTGGCTTTTGAGCCTCTACTGTTTCTCAAAACTCCTCGCTCTGGTTAATTGGTACAAAATTGATGACACATTAGCAAATGAAAGCTGATGAAAGAATTAGGCAGTTGCCCTGCGAATTCCAGCCAAGTTGCCAGAAAACTGCATTTTTTGCCCAAGGAAACCCCTACTGTCGATGTTTCCATTTCATGCTGCTTCCAGTGACACCGATTGCGTTTGGTAGCTAATTTTTCACTCCTTCATGTCATCAACAAATGAACCATTTCCTAGATTATTTTTTATTGCCACGACTTTTCTTTCAGATGTAAGTAAATTGAAATGCTCAATAGGGCTTCTACATGAAAGTTTAATGAGACCTCACAATATTTCTGTTAATAAAACGTAATGAAATCCAGGGTAACAAGAAGTATAGCAACCATCCCTCATGGTGCTATTTCACACTGATTACCAGTTAAAAGCAAGCAGAGCTGCTGAAGATGCTGGAGGACAGCTCCGAATCTCAGAACCAGGGGTCACCTCAGGAAAGGCACTACTGTGCCTGCTACAATACTGGGATGGTAAATGGCTTGCATAATTTAGAGCAGCTGGACTAGGGAAAATGCACTGTCTTTGAGATGCACTGGGCTGGAGTCTGGAGTTGACGTTCATATATATATCAATTCACTTAAATAAAACAGAAAAAAAAAAAGTGTTTTGCACTGCTGGTAAGATTTTATACTTACTCCTGCATCAAACAACCCACAGGATTTGATAATCAGTTTCACTTGAGGCACACAGAAGTTGTTTTCTTGTACTCTGAAACCAGTTCTGGAGTTCACCTGCATTGACAGACGCAATACGAAAAGGGGTGTCAGCGGATCTAGCGAGCAACGCGTCTGTGGCAGGACAGGAGTAAGCAGTGACAGGGCTCTCTCAGACAGAGCTCTCAGACCCTGCGCAGAAGTGGAAGGATAGAAGTGCTACAAGTAGCACAGCGCTCCACAGAGAAAACTCTCAGAAAGCCATGTGTAAACTAGCAGGAAAGCAATTTTCATTACAACGAAGGTCCCTTAACAGGACTCCATCGGTAAAGGTATGTTTCACTTTGAGTGTCTTTCCCGTTGCAGGACAATCCGAAGTTCCCTGTTCACGTTCACACTTGTTGCCTGGCAAAGATACGCTTTTTGGGGGCACAGTGAAGATGTGAAGCTCTGCATGATGTAACCACGTATGGAGCAGTAGGCCTGCTGCGCTTTTGAGTTTGTTTATCTGGGTAAATACACAGTGAAGAGTCTAAACTTTGAGGCCCTAATCTGCGTTGTCAGCCAAAAAGAGACTCAATTCTGAACAAAATGACTCTCCCTGAGTCGTACTAAGTGCTTGCTTGAGCTCTTGACTTCCCTAAACCTTGAACCTCTCAGCAGGAGAAAGGGTGGTTGTCAAGAAACATATAGTTATTGCCCCCTTTCTTCCCCTTGTTCGTATGCAGCTAAAGATGCTCTGATTCTGTTGTCCCAGGAAATTCCTCAGGTAACAGGCTCTTAGAGCATCACGCAGCACTACTGTGGCAGCCACAGTGTGCCAGGCAGCTGTGTTGTCTTTTAAACACTGTGAGCAGCTATGGGGGTGAGGGATCTGACCCTCAAGGGGAAGGGGAATGGACATGCTACATAATGGACACCCCATCCATAGCTCTGTACGCACCAAAGCATGCACTCCTCACACCGCTGAAAGCATCCCTCCCCCTGCCAGCAGCTGGAACATGCTTCAGCTCTTCATTTCTATAGAGGGCCAGCCAGGCACGACTCATGAGCAGGATTCCAGGCTATGCTGGTGTAGAGCCGAAGCGACTCCTGAGGCAATGTCAAATGACAAGGCCCCTTGTTCCCTTGTAAGAAGGAAACTCAGAGAATTCAACAAGTCTAAAGGGTTAAAATACTCTAACTCATACTGGTACCTCCTATCTAATCAGGATCCAAACGCCTCCTCACCTGGTAAAGGCTCTGCAGTATTTGCAGGGTCTCTGTTCCGTGTGGGTCGGGTTTTCTTTGCTGATCTCCGACTTCCCTGATTAACTGAGACAGGTTTTTCTGGGAAACCCTCTGATACAAAATGACCAGCTGCTTGAAAAAGGTGGTTTCTAGATTCGACCACAGGCATTCTGTAAAGAAAACAGCTAGTGAAGTATCCAGCACAGGTAACGTGCAAATAACTGCAATTTCTGGATGAAGCTGCATTTTCTCTTTTAAACAAATGGGCTAAACAGAAAAACCCACTTTTGCACTACAAAAATTACTAATCCTCAGACTGAGAAATTTTTTTGTTTTTCCTGTGCCTTGCTGTGTAGTCCCCACGTTTCTACTTCTACCAAAAGCATTTCTTCCAGGCTGAACTCTGGAACAAATTACACTGGCGATGCTAACTCTTGCTCCACAGCTGACAATGACCAAGCATTTAAATCATTCAGTTCTATCATCACAAAACCCTACCAAGAGTTTGCATGTCCTTTGGCTGGAGCTTCGTGATGGCTTGTGCTAGCAGCCTGAGAGAATGGTATGAGCTGTCGTCCTCTCTCTGCAGAAGGAAAGGCAGGATCAAGTACACTCTGAAATTTTCAGGCGAGGTGGGAGAGGAAGACAATGATGGCAGTAACTTCTTGATCTCCTTTTGCACCTTCAGAGGTAAAAAAAAAAAGAGACAAAGGTTGAAAATGGATTTCTGTTTTGCAAAATCATCTATGAGTTAGGTTGGCATGGAAATTCCCAAGTGTCATGCACAAATCCAGATCTCTCAGCATCTGTGTAGTGTGAATCCTTATATCAAACCCTTACCTCCTGGAAGACTTTTGGCTTCTTGCCGATCTTCTCATAAAAACGTTGCACCTCTGACATGTCTACACCTGAGACTTCTTTGGAAGTTTTGAAATGTTTGTCTCTGTCACAAAGGAAAAAAGAACACCAAATGATGTGAGAAGCTGGTTTAACTGAGTAGCGAAGCATCCTAACATCAGAAAATATGTGGGAAGTTCAGCCCTGACTCCAGCGGGTATAATTTCATCCGTTCTAAGAAGATATTCTCACCGTGGTGTGACCTGATTAATATTCGGTCCTTCCTGGCTTGTGTAGCTGTACACTGTTAATGGCAGGCTTCCCATGTTTCACCCTAAAACGACTTGCACTTCAGTGCTGGGAGGAGATATGCTGGATCCTTTGGGAGCTGTAGTATTGCCTAAAGCGATTATCATCATCTGTCAAATGTCACTACAGGATAATCTGCTAGAATGTGAGCTTCTATAGCAAATTTCAGTAGGATTGGGGGGGATAAGAAACTTCATTATAGCTCAGGCTTTGAAAAATACAGACTTGCTTCTTGCAAATTCAGATACAACTAATCTTGTCTACATACGTGGCCTACAGTAACACTTTCTGGTCAGTTTAGATGCAGCCAACTCATTCTGTTACGTCTAAGTCAGCACACGCTACCTTTCCTCCAGGAAGCTTCCGTTGATGCAAGCCTCAGATGAGAAGATCAGTCTGATACTCCTGACAGTAAAAAACAAACCAAAGTCAATCCTTGCAGCATGAGTAGCAACTTCAGGTTTTTAATTCTGGAAGAACAAAAACTGTGTGTACAAGTGTGCCTGCACCTGACCGCATAAAACTTTTCTTAACACCACTTTATTGAGAGTGTTGCAGAAGACCTTGTATTCAGTGATCTTCAGCAAGCCACCTCTGCTCACCTGGGCCTTCTAAGGGAACCTGCTCAGGCGCCCCATGCCAGCCTGTGCTGCATGCTGGTGGGTGTTATGATGGAGACATCTTCTCCTGACAGCTTGGGACGTTATCTGGCTTTGTTTGTTATGCAAAAATAGAAGGCAATGCGGCACGGGAGGGACGAGGAACGCCTCCACGCACGGGATCTTTGTAGCATGCTGAGGGAAGATCCATCAGGGCATCCATTTGCTGCTGCACGGAAGCTGGGTTCCCAGCCTCTGAAGGGACGTTAGACTCACTCACCACCTCTATTCCCGGTTGTATTCTTATTAATGCAGCTATTTTATCAAGCGATTTGCTGCCAGACCCTTCCTTTTGAATTCTGGAAAGAACCTTCTCTCTCTCTCACACTCCCAACAACTACATCAATTCTGATCCAAACCGTACTAAAATGTGGTCAGGGAAACATTTAGATCCCAATTAGCCAAGATTTTTAAATGCTCAGCTGGAGTCAGACTTGCCCAAAGAAAATAACCCACCACGTAAGATCTGAAAATAGACCACGTAATCATAATTCTCAGCTATCAGAATATACTACTCCCACCGTAGTACATACTTAATGGTTTTTGAAAATGGGTAACTAAAGAAGGGATCGCTAATTTTTAAATGCTGACACACACAAAACATTCCAGTTTGGGTAATCCGGATTACGATTTTTGCACACGGCCTCGATCTGCAGACTGAATCTTTCACGGATTTAACTTGTCAGCTCTTCATCAACTCAACAACCACTCTGTGCAACAAGAGGAGGACAGGCTTCCGAAGCCAGGCAGCACGTCTCCTCTGCTCCTGCAAAAGGGTTATCGAAGGGCTGCTGCTTATGAACACCTCTTTTTCCTGTGCAGAACCTAAATAAGAAGTGCTGGTACATTACCCTGTCTCGGCTAAATTCTTGAACGTCAGTTCCTACAATAGTCTCCAAAGAATAATAATTTTTAGAGAAAATCATGGCGGAGGGAGGGGGGGAAGCAGGTTTCTGACTTACTTTTTTGTAGTCTCCCAGCGTTGCAAATTAGAATTAGAAATCCATGCATCCACATCTGCATCCTTCAGAGTGGCAATTCCATTCAAAGAGGAATTCTGTGTGAAACGCATGAAAATATTGACGAGATCACAGATCTAGCAGATTAGATTATTTTTTTCAAACCAATTGCTGCAACAAGATTTCAGCCAAAGTATGGACAAATTAAGGGTCATTCAGCATGATCCAGATGCACTAACCACAGAACAGATATATAATTGCACTTCAAGTTAGTTTCTGCATAAGCGTTGAAAGAACTGCAAGAGACATACATGAATTTGGAGCGCTAAAAGCAGGATGGAAAATGCAAATGTTTCCAGCGGTAATGTGAACAAAGGTGCTACTGGAAGCCATATACCTTGTTGTTCTTGCAAAGGACAATATTTTGGTTTCCTCCTGCACTAATTTCAGTCACCTCTTGTGACGTGTTGTTTTCTGTGACAGAATAAAAATATTTTCAAAGGAACATTTGAAGACACAGTCATTATCTTCAGAGTTCAGTGCACAGATGTGGAACCGTAAAAAAATCCCACAGATAGTAGCTGTCTATCTATCAACGGATTCTATGTGGCCATTACCCATGATGATAAATCAAGCAGCAAATGGAATTATCCATTGCTAGAATTTGTTGGGATGACCAAGCAAGCACGAGACGTAACGTTAGCCTCCCAGTATAAACACAAAATCAAGAAAGCAAATCTCCCTGGAAGAAACAGATACAGATTGCACACATCTGCAGTGGTCATTACCCTGACAGGATTTTCCAGCATTCACTGCTGAATTGATGGGAAGCGGTATCAGCTGATCAGGCTTTCTCTCATCTCCCGGCCGCCCTGCTTCATCAGAACCAAACCGATAGACTTCGTCCAAGGCGGGGACATAGACCAGGGTGTGCTGTCTGTTCAGAAAAAGAAAAATGGTCATAATAAGTTAATACCACTGAGCTAGTCAGAACAAAATTTACAGATAGATTTCAGGGTGGGTAGCTGAGGCTTGTCTTTAAAAATCCTGACAGTCCAGCTATAGAATCCCTTTAGCCAAAGTCTTGGGATCCTTCCTCGCGTAAACATTCAGCTATACAGAAACATATGGACTCAAATTTCCTATATTATCCTCTAACGCTTGTAATTTACCCTGATTCCACACACAAAAATAAAGCGTTATGCCTTGCTAGCTTCACGCCCTTCCATTCTTTCAATCACAACTTCTATGCTGCTGAGCGTGGTAAAAAGTCCAGGAAAGTCAACAGGAATATTTTACTGGCCCGGTTCCAGAAAGGCAGAATGAGGTAGGGTAACTATCACCACTCTTCGGTTCTTTCTAAGGACCCACCAGTCTGTCAAAGTGGACAGGAATTTGGTGACTTTCCCAGCTCAGGCTTTTGACAGTCTTTTGCCTGTCTTCTGCCCTTTGGAACCCAGTACGCCCTTCATTTCTTTTAAGAGCAAAAACCGAGGGCTTCTGGCGTTTTTTGCAGCATTCTCCTTCTGCTCGGCACAGGCTGAGGGTTCGGCTTTCACAGGGGCTGTGGCAGGAGGGTGGCTTACACAGGAGGAATGTTCTGACAGTGCTCACCTACTGGGACACAGGGGTTTCAACATCTTGGCGACTGCCCTCCCTACTCTCTCTAAGACTTTGACCTTAGAAGGCATTTTATTGGTACTTTCCCACCAACATCTTGGCGACTGCCCTCCCTACTCTCTCTAAGACTTTGACCTTAGAAGGCATTTTATTGGTTTTTCCCCCCCTGCCACAGGCAACCTGCGAAACTCTTGCTCCCCACAGCTCGGCCACGACACGAGGCGTGAGTTCATTCCGGGTGGAGTTGTGGCCAAGCTGGCCAGCCCCTCCTGCTCCAAAGGTGCACACCAGCCCCTCCTTGACAATGAAGAAAACAAGAGGATCGCTGCGTTATTAACGGCATTCAAATGGTCACCACCTAGAGTGAGAGCCAGCAAGACACAATACGTTCTATGGGACTTGATTCAAAACATCTCTGATTCAAACACAGACAGAGATCACTTCGCACCAAGCCTAACCTTACATTGTCTAATGTCCAAATCATTTGACTCCTGAGAAAAGCAATTTAACTCCTGAGAATAACTCCCTGTTGTTTAAGAGCTTTACTTGTATGAGCAAACTCTAGTGAATTAGCCATTGTTCACATTTTCTGAAGTCCCCAGTATGCTATAAAAAAACATAGTATTTTCAAAAAGTACTGAGAGTTGAACTGCACCTCTTCCCCCCAGGATTCCCATTCACCATCTCCCTGCAAAAGTTTGAATCATAGAGTCATAGGTTGGAAAAGACCTCTAAGATCATTGAGTCCAACCATCCACCCAACGCCACCATTCCTACTAAACCATATCCTGAAATGCCACATCTACACATTTTTTGAACACCTCCAGGGATGGGGACTCCACCACCTCCCTGGGCAGCCTGTTCCAATGCCTGACCACTCTTTGAGTACAGAAATTTTTCCTAATATCTAATCTAAACCTCCCCCAATGCAACTTGAGGCCCTTTCCTCTCATCCTATCACTTGTCACTTGGGAGCAGAGACCCGTAGCCACCTTGCTCCAACCTCCTTTCAGGTGCTTGTAGAGAGGGATGAGGTCTCCCCTCAGCCTCCTTTTCTCCAGGCTAAACAACCCCAGTTCCCTCAGCCGCTCCTCACAAGACTGGTTCTCTAGACCCCTCACCAGCCTCGTTGCCCTTCTTTGGACACGCTCCAGCAACTCAATGTCTTTCTTGTAGTGAGGGGTCCATGCAGGCCCATGCACGTGATGAGAATCTGAGAACAGCACCCCTTGGGGATCGTCCTCAGGCTCGGACGGAAGCAGGCGCTGCCATCCCAGTTTCTCCGTGTCAGCTTCTAGCAGCGTACCTTTTCTCCCAGGGTGAGGTCTCGCATGATGACTTTCCATTTCAGACTCACCTTGGAGAGAACCGCGGTATGATCTGCCCCACACGAGATAAAGACAGTCTTCCAGTGCTCTAATGCTCCAACGCATGACGGGCAGTCCCTGTCTGGAAAGAAGACAGCACTGCTAAAGTGAAAGAGTACTGGGGAGGGTCTCACACAAAGAAAGATTTAGAAAATAGGGGGAGTATGATGCTTTTCAGTCCTCCCTTACAGCAATTTGTGTATTTACAATTTGGTTTTGA